AAAGTCTTCACCTTTTGAAATAGTCAAGAATGTGCAATCAACAAATCTGTTTTATTATTTTATTTTATTTTGTTGGATATGTTCTAACTATTTTGTCTCTTTTTCGAAAAGGACAATTTTACCTATAGTGTTTTTGCTTTTTATTTGGTGATCATCTAAAAGAACGGTGAACCAACGTGCATCTTTCCTACCTTTTTCTCTATTATTTTATATATTTTTATCATAAGCTTTCTTTGAAGAAAATGCTAAAGAAAAGTTACTTCATTTTTTTATAACAACTTACTTCATTTTAGTTCCTGTTGATACAAAGCAAAATCAAGTTTAACAGTACTAGTAGTTAATATAATCACCATTTTGTTTCAAAGCAGTGAGCTTGAAGTCAAGAAGTCAGATAACGTGTCTCTGCAGCAATCGGATCAGTTCAGTTTCTGTGAGGAATGTTCCGTCAAGTTTGAATCGGAAGCTCGATTCTTAAAATGCAGCAATAGCAATGTAACCACTACAACTTTACCAGCATGGCTTCAGCAGTATAAGAAGGAGAGTCAAAATAGCGACACTGTGAGTTTTATAAACATCATAACAGTTCACATTTTTCATTTGCTTCATGTTTTAAGAGCTTATATGTTTTTATTCTTGGACTTTTCAGGATTCAGATTCTATCAAGGAACTTGTGGTGAAGTGGAACTCTATCTGCGATTCAATCCACAAGAGACCATCTCTAAAAACACTCACACTCTCTTCTCCCACTTCTTCCTTTTCTGGTTCCATTCAATCTTCCAGTACTATGCATCATCTTCAAACCAACGGTGATTGGCCCGTGATCGAGACAAACACACATCGTCATCATTCCGTGGTCCCTGAGACATCCCACTTAAGACTGTTTATTCCAGAACATGACAGCGAGCATAAGACAGAGCTTTTATCTTCGAATCCTAACTCAACAATGAACTCTGCAGCCTCTTCTAGCGATGCAATGGAGGTGGAACATGCCACTTCCAGGTTTAAAGAGATGAATGCAGAAAACCTAGCAACTCTATGTGATGCCTTGGAGAGTACGGTACCATGGCAAAAGGATTTAGTCCCGGAGTTAGCGAAAACAGTCTTGAAATGCAGGTCAGGATCGAGTACGAGGAAGATAAACGGAAATGATGATATAAAAGAAGATACATGGATGTTCTTCCAAGGTCTTGATGTAGAGGCTAAAGAGAAGATCGCTAGAGAATTGGCTAAACTCGTGTTTGGATCTCAAGACAGCTTTGTCTCGATCTGTTTGAGCAGTTTCTCGTCGACAAGATCGGATTCCGCTGAAGATTTGAGGAACAAGAGGTCGAGAGATGAACAAAGCTGGAGTTACATAGAGAGATTCTCTGAAGCTGTTTCTTTGGATCCAAATAGAGTGTTCTTAGTGGAAGATATAGAGCAAGCTGATTATTTGTCTCAAGTGGGTTTCAAGAGAGCTATCGAGAGAGGAAGAGTTTGTAATTCGAGTGGTGAAGAAGCTTCGCTTAGGGACGCGATTGTGATCTTGAGCTGTGAAAGATTCAGTTCAAGATCAAGAGCTTGTTCTCCTCCAGTTAATCAGAAATCGGACGGTTCAGATAAATCTGAGGACAAGAACGTTGCTACTTGTGTTGCACTCGATCTTAACCTATCTATTGAAGATGACGTTTGTGAAGAAGAATCATGTGATGAGATTGGCTTACTCGAAGCGGTGGATGCACGGCTTCATTTCAAGTGTTCATCAACATAACATCATGCACACATATGCATGTAACATGGCCAGTTTATGAGCATGAAAATGATCATTCGCATGCAATGCATTACATGGTTTATGGTCAAGCGTTATTTGTTTCCTATACGGACTTCTCTTTCATTGGGTTGGGGCAATACTTTGGGTTAAACGTGTAGTTGTAGATTTTTTTTTTTTTTAATTTGTCTTAGGAACTTTTTAGAAGGATATGGGGGGTTGGAGAAACTTGAGATATTCCATTTTATGTTTTTCTTGTCTTAAATGTAAAATTATCATATTATGGTCGTAAATGGTAATTTATGTTCATGGAAAGGAGACGGGAAGAAAGCTTCAAAAAAATCTTGACACATATAAAATTTGGATTGAACTAACGGAATTTACAAAATTATTCTAACGGAATTTGTTGATATATCAAGACTTTTAGTTGTTTATTTTTTATTTTGAAAATAGTTTCATATCAGGTGACTTACCTTTTTTGTATAAAAATAATATACAGAATAAATTTTATTCGCTTATTTAACAAAAAAAAGGAAGATAAACATAAACTAGACTTTTTTTTTGTCGTGATAAACTAGACTTAAGCTAGAAGAAAGAACGCTTAAGCTAAAAGAACGCTTATGCGGTGTTATACTATATTATTTACCTAAAAATACTCGATTACATTTACAATAATTAAAAAAATAATATTTCCGTTAAAACTTGTGAATTATAGCATTTTAAAAAAATTCTGATTGTTGTTGTGACTAATTATATAGTAGAGATTTTCGATTATTTTAGATCTTTTTTTCATAACTACGCATTTAATCTTTAGCAAAAAAAGAAAAATACTACGCATTTAAGTGATTTAACATGATCTAATTTGAAACCGACGGAATATAGACTAGACAAATTATTGTTAACTCTTAATCTGTCTAAAGATAAAGCATACAAAATTGGTCATTGTTTCCTTTAGAATCCAAGACAGCTTGATTGATATTAAAGATCTCCACAAACTTTATTGCCTCTCTGTTTCATTTCATCTTTTCTTTTCTTTTCTCCCGAGAGAAAGGAAGAAGCCACCACCTTAGAGCATGATTATTGGTAGTATCTTAGAAATAAATCTTAGGAATATTTAAGTAATATATTTATAAAAGTGATAGGTAAGAGATAGTATTTTTGGGTTAAGATTTTTGTGTGATTAATGGTAGGTTCTTAACATGTGGTTCTTAAAAAAAAAATATTAATATAAAAATAAAATTTATACGTATCAACATATCACTTTTATCAAACAGAGAAGACGTAGAAAAAAAATATTAATATAAAAATAAAATTTATACGTATCAAAACATATCACCAATTGACCAATAAAATTTATACGTATTAAAACATATCACCAATTGACAAAACATATCTAAAAATAAAATTTATACGTATCAAAACATATCACCAATATAAAAATAAAATTTATACGTATCAAAACATATCACCAATACGTATCAAAACATATCACTTTTAACCAATCACAATGTGACACCTTGCAACATCTTAAGTTAAGAAAAACATCTTAACTTAGATACAAATCTTAGTTTTAAGATGTTGGTTTGATTTTATTTAATCAACTTTAATACTAAGATATCTCTAAGATGTTGCCGTTAATCATGCTCTTAGAATCTTAAACTGCTTTTCTCTAATTCTCTTTTGCCTTTCCGAGTTTAGTTTTCATTTAAATCTCACAAGTTTTAGGTATTATTGATGTATATACATTCCCTGGATCGGGGATATGTATGGATCACTTTTGTAAATGATTCTCCTTTCACAATATTGTGGTTCTTTGCTTTGGTTTCAAATAAGATGAAGCTTTTTCCGCTTGGATATTTTTGTATAGGGTGGAAAAAGAGCGGTTACTTTGAAAAATATTCATATATGACTTGTACCAAAACCGAGTTCTCTATGTTGATATTAATACATGTATTTGATCTTAAGAAAAGTTTTTTTTCTTAATATGCAGCAAAGCTTTTCTTTATACTTAACTCCATCTATAGTCGATTCTTAAGAATAAAAGCTGATATACAAACATTTGTTGGTCAATGTCTAAATGATAACATTTTATGATTATGTGAATCATACCACTTGAAAGAAAACGCCCATGTGTAAACACAACAATATCCACATTAATATATTTGCAAATTAGAGGAATGCATATAATATGAAATATGAATGCGTATAGATGTCCATTAATTCATGCATGGAATCTAAAGTTTATCCTCAAAAGCAGGAAGGAAGATAAAGTTAAGCATGATTTTGGAAAAGTAAATAATTAATTTATTTACAAGAATTGCAGAAAGTGGGTGACCCTTTTAAAGCAGAAGAGAAAAAGAGAGAGTAAAAAGCTAAATTCTATCTCTCTGCTTTTGGAGGGTTTTTAAGCTTTTAAGAGTCTTGTGATGGGCATTTAGTCATTATAGACCTAAACTTTGATCTCAACATAATTCGCTTTTTATCTTTAATAAAGCAATAAAACACACTAACTTTTTCTCCTCTTGTAAACCTTTTTGGTTATTAATTAAATAAAACAAGAGAGAATACGAGTTATTTACGAGTTATTTATTAGAATGTAAGCAACACATGAATCCAACTATAGGTTCAGTTTTATCAAACTGAGAGGTGTAGGCGAAAAAAGAATTTGAGAGCTTCATGGCCCAAATCCATATATTTAGAGAAGGATTCATGGGCCTGATATCTCAAATATGCATGTGCAATTTACAATTCCATTTTGTATCAGATAAATGATAAATGATAAATGATTAAGATCTAGATGATGGTGTGGTGCATCTTTAAGGCGATAAAAAGAATCTTATGACATCGATATGAAAAATCAAACCCTGAATGGTAGACTAAAATGGGCCGTTTAACACCGTTAGTTAATCGAATGGCCCAAATTAATGATTGCTACAAAGTCAAATAACTATTGCATGTTGTCTGTTGAACGTTGTGTTCTTCTTTTTTCACGAGTGCAACATCATTTTTTCAAGTTCGCTAATAAAAACTAAAGATCTTTCTTTTGGTGACCTAAACTAAAGATCTCCAAATAGTAAGTCGTGTACCTTCACTTTCAATCCAGATTTGACTATTAATGATCTTTCTAACCGGAACCTACTCAGCAACTCTTTTCCGATTATGACACTTCAACTACCCAATAATTAGTAACAATTTACGAAACTACCCCACTCCAGTTTCTGTTCTTATCTAAAACAACAAATCCATAATTACGACAAACGAAACGACGCAGTTTTAAGGTTAATCTCTCTCAAACTCTTGTCTCCTAAATGGGTCTTAGCCAAACAGCAACCGTACTCGTCGCGGTTTTCGCGTTTTGTCTGGTAGCTGTAGCGGCACAGCTCGCCTACGTTTTGTGGTGGAAACGTAGGTTTCGTCGTCGGAGTATCGCTGGCTCACAACTCGACGCTTTCTCCTCCCGCGGCGGTGACCCGACGGCTACACCACCGCCTTCGAAAGAGCTTCTTTACTTCTTCTTGTTCTGTCTCGAAAACAAACAGTTCCGAATAGGATCCGCCACCGCTCCGCCCCTCCCTGCAGCTGCTCCTCCGGTTAATGACGTGGCGTCGAAGTGGTCAATAAACGGAGAAAATTTACTTTGCGGACCTTCGGAGACTTTGTTTACCATCGCTGAAGACTATACTAGCGAGTCTGATCATCGGACGGGTGATATTGATCCACGTGGTAGCATCTCTACGGATGATCATGTGAAGGATGATGAAGTGAAAGAGGAGATTATTGTGACTGATGGAAGCGACGACGAGGTTGACTTTAGCGACTATAATCTCGACGGATCGACGCCGTTTTCTACTCCATGTGCTTCGCCGCCGTTTTACACGCCGTCTCCTTCTCCGATTCGTGATGATCTTTCTAAGACGGTACGTGAGGAGCGTTTGTACGGCTGAGATAGGTTTAGTACTCCGATTAACCGGATATTGACCCGGTCAAAGATACGGTGTCAATCAGAGATGGGTTAATTAGTTTCCATAAGGTTTGTTTTTTTAATTATGAGTTTTAACCGTGATTTAACCAAATTATAAACCGAACGGGAACCTTGACACCTTCTTGTAAATTTGTAACATATGGATTAGGTTTTGTTCTGTTATTTTTTTTTTTTTCTCTGATGCAACTCTGTTCCGGTTCTGTTCCTTATCTTAATTATGGGATTAGGTTTTGTTAAGTTTGAAACCAACAAAAGAGGAAATTAAAGTCTTCATCACACCACACGTGTGGCCGTGAGGGTTTTAATTAGTACTTCTTTAGCAACTCATCCTCATAAAAAAATTAAGAAACAAAAAAAATTAATTAATGACCGTATTGAAAATGGTTACTCGCTTCCCATAAAATTATTACTCAATTATTAAAAAACATATAAAACGCATCAAGTACTTGATTTATACAAAATCCTATATTTTCTAAAGTAAATCGCTTTTTTCGGGAGTAACTAATTGACGTAACAGATTTGGTTGGATGGGAATTTATTAGGAAGTGTTTACTAAATCTAATACTGACTCCGTTTCATAATATAAGTCGTTTTGGGTAAAAATACGCCAATTAAGAAGATATACTTTTTAAAAGTTCAGCCAATCATAAAAGAGACTGCATAATATAAATAATCATAAAATATTAAAATAATATATAATTTGCATAGAAACTCGAAAACGACTTATATTGTGAAACAAAAATTTTTGTCCAAAATGCCTTATATTATGAAACGGAGGGAGTAGTTGTCAAAGGAAAAAGCCTTGGTGAAGGAATCTGAGAATGATGGCTCCATGCAAGCACTGGATTTTTCACCGTGAAATCTGTTGTTGATGCAAATCCCCAGTGAAAACGTATGACGCCAATACGAAGGTCGCAAAGGAAACCTCTCTTAACCCTAGTTGCCGTCATCGGATGTATCAAAACCGTCGATGTTGCCGATGTGGATATATCCTGGATACTTGGTATTTTGCTCGAGCTTTCAATTACATCGCAAAGTTTTTACTGATGAGCCCCGAGTTCGAGGCGACCACTAAGAAACAGAAGTTGGGAATAGCGTTGGGAAGGAGGAAGCTTCACTTGGTTCTTAGCTTAGAACACACCGTCATCGACTATATTAGTGTGTCAAAACTCTCCGAGATTGACAAGTATCATCTGATCAAAGAGGCTGATTCGGGATCAAGAGATGATCTGTTTCGTTTAGCTAAGAATAATTTCTATTCAAGCGATGCGTTAGTGAAGTTTCGACCTTTTGTACGTGAATTTTTGCGGGAAGCAGAGAAGATTTTCACCATGCATGTGTACACAAACTATGCTCCTGGCCTTGCAAAGAAGGTGGTGAAGTTGCTCGATCCGCATATGATATACTTTAAAAATCGCATTATTACGAGTAAATGTGTTTGGAGTGTTGGTGATTATTTACTTTATATAACATGACAAATATTAAGTGATAGATTTTATAATATTTTTAGATATTATCTTGTTAAATTTTAATATATAAAATTGATAAACCATATTAGTGTTAAAATATATATATATATATACATATATATAACTTTAATTAAAATTATCTTGAATTTAGTTTTTTTTTTCTTTCCCTAAATTTCGAATTTAGTTTATTTATTAAAAATATCTTTAAATTTAAATTAATACCAAATTGTCATTTTATCTATGAAAGTTGCAGTTTTCATCAAAAATAAATGAAAAGGTAATTTTCAAAGTATAACTTAAAAACAGGGTAGTGTTCAAAATAACCCTATAAAATAAGAAATAAATAAATGATATGACGATACTAAAGAAATGAATAAGAGAAATGATAAAAAGAATTCTTAATCGTGGACGCAAAACGTTAAATTATATAGAAATCCCCGTGTAACGAACTAACGAATCGAAACAAGACGACATTAAAATCAAAAGAAACAAATCATAATAATTGAAAGAGAAATCAAGATTTATTTTCGCAGTTAAGATACATATGATTTATACATCATAATCCATGGTAAATTAAGCAAAAAGAAATTACATAAACTCATATTGACTTTCGCGCGCGGATGGTACAATCATTACTCTACGAAAAAAGAGAATAAAGACATTGAGAATCTTCATCGTCGTCGAATCGAAAAACGATAAAGCATTAACAAAATTGGAAAAGTAAAAAAGAATCAAACGATTTCGCGTTTACCCTTTTCTCGTTCCACGCACTGCAAGCCACAGACAAAACAATTTCTTCAATACGAGGATCGATCTCTTGCAGCAATTCGAGGTTCTCTTGAGTCGCCATTCTCCAGAGAAGATTGAGTCAGAGACTTAGGGTTCTTGGTCTTCGAATGCAAATGTCAGAGAAACTTATGAACTCTTTGGATTTTTAATAACGTGTATAAGAAGGTAAGTACGAGAGTTTAATTTGAATGAGTGTATCGATCTGTTTATATAGGAGGTCTCTCAGTTAAAAACATTGAAACGGATCAAGAACGGAGCAAGAACTTTTTATTTATTTAGAATATATTAATCAATAATGTTAAGGTTTTGTTAACGAGAAATTTATTTTAAGAAACATATTATCTCCACAACAAAATGTAATTTACTAGTTATTTGTATTGAAATCTAACATCGAGATGTGTGATCAACAAGAAAGGCTAAAGTTTGTTAATAAACACTAATTTCACGTTTGGACTAATTGCAGAATTAAGAGCATCTCCATCCGTAAATATGATGGGAGTAATTTTTTATAATTAAATTATTTCTTTTCTTATTTTTTTTTAATAGTTAAACCAGTAAAATTATGACATGTGTCTAGAAACGTTTCTCATAGTTTCTCAAATGAGAAACGGTTTTTCTCTCTCTTCATTTATTACTTTTTTTATTAATAAATTTTGGTGAAAAACTCTCCTCCATCCTACCAATGGAGGTGCTCTAAGACTACTATACTACCTTCACCAAAAAGTCACACAGAGAATTGAAATGATAACTATAAAGACTCAGTTGTATGTTCTATAGACATCAAAAAGGGAGAAAACTAAGCTAACCTTGCATCACCGTAATGTCTTGTGCCACAAACATAAGCGGCCTAAGGTAAAATCTCATCTCGGTTAGCTTTTGACCTTCATTCCACCTAAGGATTTCGAAATCAAAAGAGCAAAATATCCAATTAGGAGTCATTAGGGCAATCAAGAACAAGGCTTCATTTCCATAAAGATAGCAAGAAATCCGTCAATGATATAGTACTCAAAAAGAAAAGATATAGACAAACGACACTTCAGCTCACATCCAGTAGCAGCAGAGCCAACCAGTGCGAGAATATCATGAGCAACAACATTCTAGGAAGTAAAATAAGGTTCTTAGTTAATCCATAGAGAGAGAGCCATGAGAACAACAACCAATGGATTACAATGCTCGCCACGAAACAAGTTTCGCTATAAAAGTGCATTATGCATTATGCGTCTACAATATCTTAACTACCTCAGATTCTGAGATTATTAATGCACTAATGCAGCATGTTGAACAGAAAGAGCTTTTTATGGAATCTGAAGAAGATTTCCACTCAATACCAAAGTTATGTTTCCAAATTCGTACGTTTTGTAAAACCAAAGAACACTAAAACTATAAGATCAAGAGATTGAAATCGACTTTGTACTCTCTAATTCCTAAAATCACCAAATTCAGGAAAACATAGAACACTGAATTGTCTTACTTTGGTTTCGAGCTGATGAAGAAGTAGAAAAGAATCCAGAGTCTCCGCAACTACATTACACAAAAACACATTAAGAACCTCAAAATACCAATTGCAAACCTCAAATTTCACAAAATCCAAATGTTATCTCACCTGTATGACATAACATTTTTTTTTTGATTTAGAAACATTTTTTCTCACTGATCCAATCCAATAATCGCGCGATTAGCAAATACATCAGACGCTTAAATTCTATCGCCAGAGTCGAAATCAACACTGGATCCGTAAGCCCTCACGGTTTTGATTTGAGCTTCTCCTCCATCGAAATACTTGGGATTTTGTTACCTCCATAGAGGTTTTGATTAGCGGAGATAACTGATACGTCGACGATGATGAATTCATCGGCTTGAGATTCATCGATTTCATCTATGGAATTTCTTCCGATTCTATGCGTTTGAAAAGCCTCCGTTACCGTTAGGTTTTTGTACCATTGCAACTTAATGGGCCGAAAATGAAAATGGAAGGCCCAATTGTTTTAATTATTTACGGGCCATGACATTGGTTGAGTAGTTAACAAATGGTTTTTAGTTTTTACGTTTTAGGCCTCACGGTCACTATACCACTTCGATTATTTTACATTTTAGGCCTCCTACAGTTTTCTCATTTAAAAAATAAACTACTTTATTAAAAAGTATTATGAGCATATATATCAGGCCCATATACTGAAATCTATATTAAATTATATCATAAGAATCGAATTATTTCTCTCTACCAACAAAATATATTCCCCTTAAACATTTCTTTTCACAACTTACAGAAATTAAAGTTAGGATATTTTTCCCATACATATCTAATTTAGATATTTAATAACTAAAGTAAAACAATAGGGAATGGATGTCATAAGTTATTGCCTTGTTACGTAAGCAATTTACAAATGCTTTTATGAATACGAACTTAAGAAATAGTAAATTCATAAAGGAAGGAAAAAAACCGAAAATACAAAAGAACAAGACCCAATCCTCCATTTTATTTCAACTTTATTGGATTTACAATTAAACCCATCCAGTCCTTCGTGATTGTAATAATTCTATAATCAACAATAAGCATAATAACAACCAAAAGTAGTGAAATCTTAAAGGTAAGAAGTTTGGTAATTTCAAGAAAATGATTGATTATATAGATGAAAAAAACAAAGCAACTTAACGCCGTCAAACTTTCTAAACGTTCACACTGCATTTAGTAATCAACGTATACTTAACGGCGTTATCACCGACAAGAACACCAGCAGCTTTGTTACCAAGATTGATGTAAGCCGGGCACCGAACATGGATATGATATTTTCCGGTGATCAACGTCCCCACTTTCCACCTCACGCGCCCATCGGCGCGTATCATCAAATCTACGAATCCACGGCCTTGCTCATCTCCCAAAGCGACAGAGTTATACGGTGCGATCGGAACGGCGGTTCCGTAAACGAAAGGCGACCAAACGTTGTCTTCTTTGTGACCTTGATACGTCGGAGGAATCGCCGTACGTAGAGTGATCTGTTGGTTCCGGTACGTAGCGTAGACGTGAAGACGGTCGTAGTAGATTCCGATCTTGGAGTTAGGGTTACGAGATGCGATTGTGATTTGGAAGTTTGAAGTGAGGAGGTTTGGTTGAGAGAGGTTGAAGGCGAAGACGGTGGCGTCTTGGAGGACGAATCTTGGCTTAGTGGGCCTGAGTATGACCCAAACTAGGAAGATGGTGATTAGAACTATTATGATGAAGGCGATTATGGCGCCGCAGAGTCGCCGGACGGCTGCTTCTTTGCCACCACCGTGGTTACCGCAATCTTTTGACATTCTTTATTTACGAGTTTGCCACTGGTGTACCTTTCTCTCTCTCTTAAATGATATCTTTCTTTTTTTCGGGAGGTCGTGACTAGTGATGATGGGAAGAAAAAATGTGTATGAGAGAGATTGTTGTGTATATTTATATAATACTTGTGTGTAAAAGCCAATGTATGCGCGTTTTATATCCGTTGTGTATACACTATATAGACTTGAGACTTGACACCAATAGCTTTTTTTTACCTATTCGTAAATTTATTGTAACATTTAAGCTCTTGTCTATAAGGCCATACACAATGGCACATGTGTAGCTTGGGTGTGAGTATTTAAAAAAACCAAAATAATAGAATTGAGGGTGAGGATACAAGAAACGGATGTAAACTTGCAACTTGTGTTCGTTGGGTGTAAGGCCAGGTGGCGAGGCTTGAGTGGCTGGAAACATTAAAATAAATAAATCTCTCTCTCTCTCCTCTCTCTCTCTCCGCCGACCAAGTCTTCCCCTCTCTCTTAAATAAATTTTATAATAAATATATAGTTAACATGTATTCTCTAGCATGCCCCAATGTGTATGGTCTAAGCTTTTTTTTTAAAGTAATTATATATCTTACTGTTTTTTCTGTAAATATATGTTACTTTGTGTGATGTAGTCTATGTTGGAAGAACAAGAAAAGAAATGGTTATATGTGGCATCCGTTTTTTCTTTTTCTTTTTTTGTTTGCATTAGTTTTGGGAAATGCCAAATGGCTTTTAACATTTAGTGAGGGTTTTTATCTGGCGCATCAAATTTTAAATTTTATTTGATGCGATGATGGAAGTTTCCCTCATGATTGATTCGGTTAAAAGACAATGCATCATTTTTAGTGTTAATTGTGTAGTACTAATATTTTAGTCGAAACAAGAACATGGCTCATGTGCATATATTCTAGCTTATTCTTCGATTGTATTTTTAAAAAATTAAAGAGAATTCCGTAAGAAAATAAATTATGAGTTACACGAGTCATTTTACCGTTAGGTTTGGTAGAGTAATTTGGTTTTAAAAAATGACTCTATGGTCCAATCTTGTTACAGTATGTGGTTTATGTGTTCGAAGAAAAATTGGCAGGTCGGCAATCGGCATTTACGGTGTATGTTCCCACGTGGAAACAAAATTTCTAGTATATTTCCTTGTTATTTCGATGCCTATTTACTTGCTCGGTGTCGGTGTTTAAAATTCTTATACTATCAATTTTCTACAACATTTACAATTTGTTATAGTTTTGAAGAAAATCTTATATGTATTGCTGAACAATCAATATTGGATCTTGTGGAAGAAACTCACAAGACCAAAATTGTCAACAATATAACAAAAAAAAAAAAAACTCACAGGACCAAAATGTGAAGACCACTGGAATATGTAAAAAATAAAGAAATGTACGCAAAACAACATCGGAGATTGATTCATAAATCATTGGAGGTTAATACTTTTGGATGATATATATATATATGTTTTGCAAGGAAAGGTTTTTGAGTTTCTAGTAATATTGCTTAGGTAATTAATATACATACATTGTGTTTGAAATATATTAATCATATTCATATAATATGTCACCTACCACTACTCTCCTAGTCCTAGCCACCGATACAGTTCATCGATGGCCAAACTCGTCTATAGGAAAAGTCAAGTGACAAGTGAATGCAACGTTAGAACCATATAAATAATAATATATGTCTCCTAAAGAAGACAATAATTCCGAACATTCGATACACTGCCTAACAATTTCATAAAGCTTAGCTGATTGGGATTATATGTACATATAGATGTATTTTAACGTGTTTAATAGTGTGAGCAGTAATTTACATTATTGTTGTGTTGTGTCTGCGACTTCGGACGTTGATTTAATTTGTTGACTCGAAAACAAAAACACGTCTCCGCCTTTTCTTTCGTTAAGGGTGGGACCAAAGTGGTCACATTAAAGGCTACAACTTCTATCCCCACAGCTCAACTAGAGACTTCGAATCTTTCTTAAAGTTACATTTGATCATAATGCAAAGTGTCTTTTCCTTCGTTACATTTTCATTAGTTAGGTTTCATTACAAAAAGACAAAGCACCAACCCCTATTATTTCCCTTTTTATTACACATCACCAACGAATCTTTATAAATTATGCTTATAGTAGCCGCCTCTTGTGTTGTGTCATGTGTGAGTGAGTGCACTTGTAGATAATCGCATTTGATTCTAATCATTATAAGTAAATTAAAACGCATTACCATAATACACCAAGAATCGAGTGGCTGATTTAAAGATATTTTGAAGTTTTTTACTCGAATTAAACCGAAAATGCCCGCTTAGATAAAGAATTGACAACTCTTAGAATACACAACTAAATTGAAGAGAGAAAATGTGAAGCAAGAACTCTAATGTCATTCATAGATTCTCCAAAGTGTATGAGTGAGATTAAAACTTGAAAACAATTAGACAAAAGAGGTGGACAAATATTGACAAACATGCAATTAGTGAATTAGAGAATCAAAATAATTTTCATTATTCTAGATGCACTCAATCTCTTTGATATCTTTTTATTCCAACACAAATTTTCTCCACGACCATGTAGTTTTTTTTAATAACATTGAAATTCTTTTCTCGAGTTGAATTGAAAAATCGAATCTATTTTTTTCTTAAACTTTGTAAGAGGAATTTTCTATGAGAATTTGTATAGTAAACAATCAAACCAACACAAGAATTAAAGAGAGATATATCCATCCATAGAGAACAACAATTATCAAACGTAAACCACACAAGGAAGAGGCTTAGGTAACAAAACGGCACCGTTTCCAGAATTTCCTTCAAACCCAACTTTTAATTTCCCGCAAAACACCTTAAGCCCTCTCTCACGCGCCGCCCAACCATCGGTCTTAAAAGTAACCCACACGGCCATTCTCAGGTTAAACGTCACCGTTCCGGTCTCTCTTTCTTTCTTCATCTCTTCACCAACCCAACTCGGAACTTTCGGTTGTTCTTTATCTCCCGCCGTTAAAGTTTCTCCGATCACAACCGATTTCTTGGTCTCCACGAAAACCGGAGGAAAAAACGCCGTCGCTAAAAAATCGTCCTCTCCGACTGCGTTTTGGTGATAGATTAAACCTTGAATTCGATCAAAGTAGCCTTTCAATTTCGTGTTTTGATTCTCGATTGTGAGATTCGCCGTCCATTGCGCGGAGAAAACCGGACCGGTTACGTTGAAATTGGAAACTGAGAAATTGTTTACGGAGAAAAGCGGGATTTGTGGACGGAAGATTAGCCACGTTATGGTGGTGGAGATGCAGAGGAGGACGACTATAACGATTAAACCGGTGAAAATTCCTCTGACGAAACCGGACGTAGCGGGTCTTTGGTAAACCGGATTTTGCTGAGCCGGGTAAGATGACCCGTAATATGAAGCGGGTGGGGCTTGAGCGTAAGGGTATTGTTGGTAAGGAGCGTTTGGATAATTTGGGTATGGTGGGGCTTGGTGGTAGCCTGGATACCCCATTACCGGCGGGTATGTTTGCGGTGGAGGCGGTTGAGATTGTGGCGGAGGTGGTTGTGGTTGATTAGTATCGCGTTCGGAGGTTTGACCCGGACCCGTATCGGGTTTGGGTTGAGTTTCTTCCTCCGGAGGAGAAGGCATCGTTGTGTCTCTCTCCTCTCTTTTTTTTTTCTCTGACTAATTTTGATATTAATCAATTTTTTCCCCGGGAGATTAGTGGAAAGCACGAAGATTAACCATGTTTTTGCCAAAGATTTTTCTCTTTTTTTTTTTTGCTAAAGAATACAACTAATAAATTTGGATAAAAATAGTGAATCGGCCATGGTTGAGCTAAAATTAGCACTACTGCAAATGCTGTAACCAGCCAGGCAGCCAGACCTTATATTCAAATCTTTCACTTTTGTTTAAGAGAATAGAAATTTAGTGATGGTAATGTGATGGATCTGTCCAAGAATGCAACTTTTAAGATATGTGTTTTGATGAAAAGCATGTGTCTAGGCCTACATGTGTCCATATTATTACAAGAACAGTGGAATTTATGTAACTTACAGAACAAGAAACAATACTTATGAGAAGCTTCACATAGAAAAAAAAAACAAAATTGGGCTTTTGTGATGAATAAAAACTAATATCTAAACGTATTGTTCGTAGTCCTCGGCATTGATCCTCTTAAACCTAGTTTGTATTTTTATTTACTAATCTTCTGCGTCCGTTGCCAAATAATCAAGATTGTGAATGTTGATTCGTCCGTTATCATATTCAATTGAGGAGATTCGGCCTAAAGATATTCAAAAGGCCTTAAATGGGCCTTGTAGAAGACCATTTTGTTTGGTGGAGAAAAAAAAAGAATAAGACCATTTTGTTCTTTTGTATTAGTTGGTTTACAACAAGTCAACAACACATTTCCGAATCTCAAAGACGCAATCGTTGTATACCCCGATCTCACAGAAGTAGTAAGCTTAATGATTAACTCTTGCTAGAATATACTAAATAAAAATAAAAAAATTGTCAACGCTAGAATTTGCTAGTTCAACGCCTAGTTTTTTTTATTGATTGAAACAATTAACACAGAAAAATAATAAAAATAAAAAAGAAACTGGTTATGTGGCCAAGAAGATGTAGAATAGCCAATAATGTGAGGTCCAACATTTCTTGATATTCAATCTAATCCCATGTGGTAGCCTGTTGAAGCTGTCTATTTTCGATCTGACCAATTTTTATTAGTTTTAGTTGTACACCCTTCATTACCAATTTTTGGTCCCAATTCAACATAATTCATCTCTACGCTACTCATTCCTATTTTAATTTCTTATATAAGTACTATTTTGACATATACCAACGTGGTGGTAAATTAACCTATCATATCGGACCCATCCACACCCATACGGGCCTTAAGACTTGAATTACTTATCAACTTGTATCCGACTACTTCAATGTATATATCCAAAATGCTCAAATTATATAGAACAAATCAACATATAGCAAGAGAGTGCAAGACCATGCTTTCCATTCCCCAACTTAACATACTAATAAACTACATTATCGGTTTCAATATATAGTATTAAAATTAAAATACATTGTACTGTATATGGTAATATCTAATTGACTTAATGTTGTTGTATTGATCTCTGCAATGTTTTTTTACTATTGGCCCATATCCATGGTTACACTAGGTTGACCAAAAGTATTGTACTTATCTTACATTTTTTCAAAAGATGGACAAGTCATTGTTTTCTTTAAATTAAAACGTTTTTGTTTTTTGGCACATAGACAAAGTCATTTTTAATAGCTAATTATAAAACGGCCGCTTGTTTTCTTTACGTATTGGTCATTTTTTGACCGTTTTGTGGGAATTAGTTAAATACTAAAAAAAAGTTTGATCAGGTAAGTGTTCACATTTGTTTTCGATAGATGAACGTCCTGATCCGCAAGTTAATATTTACGTTATTGGTGGGATTTAACTAATCAAGCATAACTAATATTCGGTTTGAAAAGTTAAAGAAGGTTAAATTGGACTACTGAATAAAAAATTACTCATACCAGAATATATTAGTGCCCACTAATTTGTATCATGTTGTTGAATAAAAAAAGTAAACTGATTGACATATAATCTACAAGTAAATAACCACGAAATAACTAAATAATGATATCTCGTTACATATTTGAAAACACTCACAGAATGGAAATGATGAAAAAAAATTCGAATAGAAAATATAGTGGGACATCTTTACAAAATTTAATATTTAATTTTGGTCATTAAACTGAAAAAAACCGTTAAACGGCTGAATGTAAATTCTACAAAATCATGTATTGGTCAAATTATCGGGTATATATAAAAAAAAATGTATTAGTCAAATATTTTTTAAATGGTGTTAAACACTCTCTTTTTCATTTCAAAGGTTTTTTACAAAATGAATCATGTTTTTTTTTTTGGTTATAAATCGGCGTGTGGTTAACTGATTGGAACAGACATTTATAAAATAAAATCCTTCTTAGACTTCAATCAAGGAAATAGCTAATCAATTAAATCAAATTTTTTTCATTGGCTACATCAATTAGATCACAACATTAATGTATACACGTACGTATATATTATATTCTGTCAACATACGTATATGTCTTTATATGCTTAAATTTTATTAATTGGCTGTAATCTATGACCGCCGCTCATAGAAATGGGAAAGAGCTATTTGTACATAACCCAACCCAAATAAATATATATCCTCAAGATTGAAGTCAATTATCTATCTATTTGGATACATTATTATTTTGTAGTTGAATGAATATTGCTGATAAGTAGCATATATAGTTGCAACTTGGTCATGATTCTGGGTCGTGCTCAAGAGTTGCCTAACTTATTTCTATATTCCAATAATATCTTAATTGAACAATAAAATGGAAATATTTCACTTCAGTTCTATAATTCTGTTTTCAATTAATACCAAATTTTCAATAATACCAAATTTTCAAATCATAAAAATACGATCGAGTTTCTATAATCAGCTCAAATGAGCTAGAAACAAATAATAACATAGGTATGAAGTGATAAAGCGATCTAAAAAGTACCTATAAAATAAATCCCCGATGAATGGGAGCGATGGAGCAACTTGAAGAGACTGAGCTATCAATGCCCCACAAGTGGTATCTAGCAAGTTGATTTCTCACAGAAACAAAACATCCCACTTTTGTTATTGTCTTACGAGATTATATGCTTTTACCACTTAACATATCTCAACATTTTGACAAAAAAAAATAAAACTTGCGGACATCCCTGAAAGCATTATGTAAAATCTACGTTGCCTAGAGCAACTTGAAATTTAGTCCGCATTCATAAGTTTTGTGAGATATCTTATATGCATGGTTCAACCAAGTGAGTTTTGAACTAGTTGCGTTTTCTATAATCTTCTAAGAATTATCTTTTTGAACATTTAGATTGATTCTCGTTTAAAAGGACGTCGATTTTTAGGAATTAAGCGCATGTAACTGACCAGAAGAGATATCAGACTCAAAAGAATAACAAAACTTCATTGATAACCAAAAGCAAAAAAAAAAAAAACACTAATATGGTTTATGCATTTGCCAATAGATGATAGACATATCCATTGGCACTAAGACCAAAGCCAACATATATATTAAAATAAAGGAAAAATACTGAAATATTCAAAATATCGTGGAAGCGCCTAGACAAAAGTAGAGCATAACAAGAGAGTATGGGTCGAAAAGTGTCATAAAAGTTGCATCCTAAAACAATGTACAAATCCAACAACGGACCGTTAATGGCACTTTAGGTTTTGTCGGTACCAAAACAGTAATCTTCTTTTTGTTGACAAACCAAAAAAAACCAAAAATCTTCGTCTACCTTTCGGTTGATTTACAGTAATACCATTAACTGTAGTTTTGAAATAAGCATGCCAATTTTTGTTGTACAATTCAAAAAATAAAAAGTCAACAGGACATGGCAAAAAAAGAGGAGGAATCGGCAATTGTGGCATGTGAGTGAAAAGAGACACAAAGGAGACAATCTATTTGTCTTCAACACCGCCACAACCAATCACCAATGACTTGGTTACTTTTTACACTTTCTTCGCCGTTATCGCATCTCTTTTGACAAGTCAACACTCTTCATACGTCTAACTTTTTTTTTTATAATGAAACGCATTTATTATTTAGTTTCTTTTTGTTACACCACCCAAAAAAAAAAAGTCAAATCTATATATAACGTTCCTCGTTCGTTCTAATAAAAAAGTATACAATAATAAATAAATAGAGACAGCTATCCAAAAAGAGTTTAACAATACTTGTATTTTCCGTGTTTTGACTTTTGTAATTATTCTGAATATTTCCTCCATCCCTTTATATTTAAAGACACAACTCTTCATCTCTCTTCTTGCTAACTTATTCAAACCAATTCACATAGCTCCTAAATCTCAACGACTACACTTTGAGGCAACATTTTCTTTTGTTGAGATTCGTCTGTCGTTTCTATTCATTAAGTTTACTTCTTTTTTTTTCATATTTTCGGGCGGGTCAAATGGATCAAGAGATAGAGATTCCTTCCTTCTTCCTTTGTCCGATCTCTTTAGATATCATGAAAGATCCGGTGATAGTTTCCACCGGAATAACCTACGACAGAGAAAGCATCGAGAAATGGCTCTTTTCCGGTAAGAAAAACTCATGTCCGGTCACCAAACAAGTCATAACCGAAACCGATCTTACCCCAAACCACACTCTTCGCCGTCTGATCCAATCTTGGTGTACTCTTAACGCATCATACGGTATCGAGAGGATCCCAACCCCAAAACCTCCGATCTGTAAATCCGAGATCGAAAAGCTTATCAAAGATTCGTCATCTTCCCATCTAAACCAAGTCAAATGCCTCAAACGACTTCGTCAAATAGTATCGGAGAATACAACGAACAAACGTTGCTTAGAAGCCGCAGAAGTTCCGGAGTTTTTGGCAAATATCGTAAGCAACTCCGTTGATACGTATAGTTCTCCTTCTTCTTCGCTTTCTTCTTCGAATTACAACGACATGTGTCAGTCAAACATGTTGGAGAATCGATTTGATTCTTCAAGAAGCTTGATGGACGAAGCCCTAAGCGTACTCTACCATCTTGACACATCGGAGACAGCCCTCAAGAGTCTTTTAAACAACAAGAAAGGAACAAATCTTGTGAAAACGTTGACTAAG